TGGTGATGTCATTCTTAGTGCAAGTGGAATCTTGTTATATCTAAGCCAGATTTTGCCAACAATTTTCCTATGTGTGAATAGCTGAGACACCCAGTTAGCCACATCCTCTGTTTATGTCACGTTGGAATTTCATGGCAGTAAAACAAAAGGTATGTCTTTCCACTGCACTCGCACGTGTTCACTGTGCACTTTGCCAGCTTTGTTATTTACAACAGTTGGCAGAACATCAGTATCATCTATCACCGTACTTGTCCACTCCCGTGAGCATGATGGGCTTGAACAGTTGTATAAAGGATGGAGGCAGTAACCTACGTAATCAATGATATAGAATCAGTCTGATGGAAATCTCACACTTTGATTTCCACAATCATGAATCTTACTTTTCTTCTGTTCAAGCCAAAGCCATACAGGGGGAAAAGGCTATGCTAGTTCTCCAGAAGTTCAAGGATAAAGTGATGTAATACGGGATTCTTTTCAGGACTTGGTCATATGAAGAGGAATATAGCACAATTAAAGGCTAAGAATTTGGAAAAGCTTCCCAGACACTATTTCTTCATGGGCACAGAGGTTTGAGAGCTTTGGCAAACTGTTTTTCTTCCTTTATCTGTTCTCTAGAAGGGAAGAAGTCTTTGCTCAAAGTAAGCCTTCTTAGTAGGATACAATAATTTTCAATTTTATATGGAATAAGATATACGCAAGAACTGCTAAGAAAAGTTTGCAAAGAAAAACTTATGTAGAATTATCTGCTCTGTCATGTACAAAAACACACTATGAAAACACTAATTAAAACAGTTTGGTGTTTGCTAGGGAAAAAAGAATATTTTGAATACACTTACACATTTAAGGTGTAGTGAAGTTAGCCCTTCAAGTTAGTGGAAATTGTTTATTTAGTAAATAGTACTGACACACTTGCCTCTCAATATAGAACACAAGAGATCAGCTTCATACCTTACACCATATAAAATATACATTTTAGATGAGTTAAGAATATAAATATAAAATATCAATCTATAAAGAAGTAAAAAGTGGGAAAATACTTGAATAACCTCAGGATAGGGAGAAATCTTTAACAAGACAAGAAACTCAGAAGACATAAAAAAAATGGACAGATTTGACTATCTCACTGTTATTTATTATGACAAAAGTCATAAACATAGTCAAACATATACAATAATCTTGGCAAAAATATTTGTATTCATATGATAATATGAATCTTAACTTTAGAAGAGCTCCTACAAGTTGAGAAAAAAAGAAAAATCAGACAAGCAAGGCTGTTTAGAGAGGACATCCAAGAAGGCAGCATACATGAAAGAAAGTGCAACCTCATTTAGAGTCGTATGTATGACAAAATAACAGGGAGATGCATTTTCCGATGTTCTCATGAGAATTAAAAGGTATCGGTCACATTCAGTGTAGGCAAGACTGTGAAATGCAACAATCTCTTTTGGAAAATAAGCCGGTGCTATCTACTAAAATAAAAAAACAGACTTTTGACATAGCAATTCCACTTTGGGGAATTGATTTACAGAAATAAAATACTTATTTTAAGTAAAATATGTACAAGAATGTTTATTATAGCATTGTTTATAATGGAAAAATACTCAAAACAATGTATTCATCACTAATGAAGTAACTGCAGAAATTAAGGCATATTTAGATTATGGTGAACTGTGCCATTTTTTAAAATAATGAATTTAAGCTATATGTGTTATCTTGAAAGGTTGTCTGTGATATTAAGTGGAAAAGGGAAAAAAACAAGCAACCAATGTGCAGAGTAAGGTGTATTGTGTGATTGCTTCAAAAAGAAGAAACAAAGAGTAAATCTCTACTTGGTGAATAGGCATGTATGAAACAGGACTGCTTAATAGCAAAATGAAA